TTTATTATTTTATGCCCGATTTGGAACTGTAAACAAGTAAGATATGTTGGGAGAAAACTGGGATGGCAGGTGAAGCAGAAGTTTAAAACTCTGGTTGCATCCTTCTAGAGCCTCAAGCAGTGCTTCTGTCTCCGTCCTATAATAAATAATTGTATTTTTTTTTTTTACATATTTTTTGGTTGGCTTTTGCATGAAAATGTTAATAAGGTCCGATTCATTTGAGGTAACAGGAGAAAGGTTAGTGTCTTAGCACAGAGGACAGCACACATGTTGGGCTATTAGAGTAAATCACAGCCTTTGCACAGGAGAACTGCGGTGATTGACAGGTGAGTGCCTGAAGGGCAATCTTTGGTTGGTTGCCAGAGGGATTTGGTCTGGCCTCCTGACACCTTCTTTCCCATGGGTAACCTTAATGAAAACGCACTTCCTGTTTCGCTGGGCACTGAAGTGTTGTAACTCCTGACATCCCCGGCCCCGCTCATAAATACGCCGCGCACCGTTTTTCACTGGGAGGAAGCACTCAGCTACTTCTTGACAAGGTGACCTGACGAGCTGCTGTTTGCGCTATGCCTTTACTTCGCCTATTAAGTGGAACTGGGCCTAAAATCAACAGCAATCACTGACATTTACATGGTGTGATGTGTGGAAAAGACGGACGCTAGATCTCCATAACGTGCCACGGTCGGGATATTTGAGCTATATTAGATTTTATAGCATAACATTCAGTGTTGAGAGTCATTATCACTATACATTTAGTCAATAACAAAAAATGGAGGAAGCGTAATTTGAGCTTATGAACAAAATCTACTCACAGAACTACATATGAAACTCTTGAATTTGGCTCCAGCTGTCTGAATTCATCTTAGTTTCCTCACTTCTCCGGATGCGGGAGTATGAAGCAAAGATCTTTGTGTTTCCTGGCTTTCTTCTCAGTAAAGCCAGTGTACTTAATCATGGCAGCAGGGCCCCTTCCCCGCAGAGCATCAATGACTCGTTACCCATGATAACACGGCAGGACCCTGGCTGACTGAGGAGATGCCTGAATTAAAATCCTGCTTCCATGGAAACAGGCTCAGCAGCTCACGGTGCTGCATCACCTCTGAACTCTTGTATTTCTCTCAAGGCTGTGACAAGTGCTCTGAAGTGGAGCTGGAGATAGGGGGGGGGCATGGCAGAAGAAAAGAGAAAAGAACAATAAAGCTGCATTCTTTCACAAAGGAGATTTAAGTCCATTTTATGAGCCTGCCACATATTCTTGAGTATGAAAAGAGGCCACTGTTACCTCTGTGGAGGCCCTTTAGATGTTGAAGAAAGAGTGTCATGGAGTTATTCAAAGAGAAGGATCTGCGTTGAGCTGATGGAAACTCCTCTATCCCCATCTTTACATTTATTAATCTATCTATGGGCAGCACTCACCAAGTAAGCCCACACAACACAGACACAGTGCACAGAGCCTTTCCTGCCAAATCACTTCTTCTCCCTTCTTTCCTAGAATAGCCTCAACAGTTACATGTTCCATCTGCTCTTGATTACGTATATATCAAATATTCATGACCCATGGAGATGTGTAACAATGACTTTGAGGAAGCTTGGTGATTGTCTGATGTATCTAGACCATACAAGACGTCCAGATGACTGAATCCTTGTGCTATTTCAGAAACCTCACCCGCAGAGTTTCAGGCCAAAGTTCCATTGGTAATGGTCGAAAAGGAGAGGCCAAAATAAATGCCTGCTGCCTGTTTTCTTTGTGTGTGTGTGTGTGTGTGTGTGTGGTATGTGTGTGTGTATGTGTGTGTGTGTCTGTGTGTTTGTTTGTGTGTTCCACAACTCGGGGACTATCTGCGCGTAAGAAAAATCAATGTATCAACTGAGAATAACTGAAGGGCTAGGAAACCTCAGATTGAACCTCCAAATATGAAAACCTCTGATGGACACTGTTTCAAATGCTTTCTTATGAAAACCTGCTGCATCATCACAGGAGAAAATCCTGATTATTCAGCATAAAGTTTAGTTTTTGAGGCAACAGCCCTTGCAAAAAGCCAATAAAGACTCAAAACCACTTGAACAGAATCACAGGATGTCATTACTGTGGTAAACCGTCAAGACAACCTATAATGTAAATCATCTGAAAAGTGGAAAGACTAGGGAGGAACTCAAATAGCACAGTGCCACTTTGTAATCCGAGATCAAAACTAATTGTGATGGACTTACTTTGATTCTGTAGAATGCGGGCTTCCTGGTTCTGAAATTGCATGTGTGAGCCGGGGTGAGTTACTGCGGTAACTCATCGCTAAAAAAAAAAGCCGCAAAAATCTGGCACCATAGCTTATCTCCACCTTTAAGTATCAGAAACTGTCAATGCTTGCATACATTTAACTATTATGACAGCAAATATTCTAACAGTTAACAGTGCTTTCAACAATGACAATAGAAGATGGCGTTAGTTCCCTGCACTTGTGTGAAGTTTGGATAGCTGTCAAAAACTGAAATGACAGATTCTAATCAAAAAACTCTTTCATTCCACTTTGAAAAGAGGAAGCACAAAAGTCTTATTTCTTCTTCCAGTTCATCAGCAATGAATCTTCTTCTGCCAGCTGGTAAGCCACTATCAGTGCTCACTCTATAGAATAGATGAATAGACCTTCAGTGCTCATCCGAGTTGCTGGCAGCATGTTATCATGTGTGCCTGTGAATGCAGGCGTGTTAATGTGCCTGCTGGTGCTTTGACATGTGAACATGCATGTGGAAGTGTAGCTGTGTGACAATAAACTACATGCACAGTCAGCACAGAATGTGTGTGTGTGTGTGTGTGCGCGTGTGTGTGTGTGTGTGTGTGTGTGTGTGTGTGTGTGTGTCCTGCTTGTCCTTTTCAGGAAAGAACAGCTTTGGAGCCATGCCACACGGCACAATGTCCATCACATACAGTCCACATGATTTAACAAAAGTGCTGTAAGAGTATGGGTTTTATGGCTGAGCCGCTGCATGCCATCCTGCCAGCCTCTCCCTCGCTGGGCGAAGGCCTGTGAAGGAACCACAGAGCGAACTGACAGCCCTCTGGAGGCCTGACAACAACCCACTGGATCCAACCCCGACAAACCTCTTCTCCTTCTGCCTTCAGCCTCTCTCATCCTCTCTGTATTTTTTTTGTCTTAGAGTGGGTGAAATATGACAGATCTTTCCTGCACAACGGCTGCTACATATTTCTGCCATTTCATATGTAACCACAGACTTAGCCCATCTGCTTTTTCCGAGGCTTTTTCTCTGGCGGGCTTGTGTGAGAAAAAGGCCCGACAAACACAGATGAAAAAGCAGCATTCAGTTTTGTCCTTTTTCCCACTGAGGCAGCTGTGTTTGAGTTCAGAAAAAAAAGAGGAAAAATAACTTGTGGAAAGGAACTGTTGTCTTTTTTTTCATAGCCATGAGGTAAGTGTGAGTAATTAAAGAAGCTGAAAGTGGGCCTCTGTACACACACAAAATTCAACTCGATCATACAAGGAAAAGTAAACAGAGAAAACAACCGCTGCTCTTAGTTAGAATACAGAAAATGGTGCATGCAGGGAGAATAGAAAACAATCTGTTCAGTGTTTTCTCTTTTCTTTTTTTTGGAGGAACTCCACCTGTCATCAACATTCTGACTTGAGATGGTGAAACTTCATTCTTCCTTGTAGATCTTAACCAAACACTGGTTTTTCTTGTTTGTTGAATAGACAGCCAGTTTGGTGATGGGTGAACTACATGAAAACAGCACTGATTCTACTTCTACCATTCACTAAACTCGAATGCATAGCTTTACCCAGAGTAAAAATATTATTCATGTTGACATGTCTTCATCTGGGTTGCCACAGCAACTCCATATCTCAGAAAGCATAGATGTGCCATGATTGGACTCCAGCTGAGTCTTTAATCGCTACACTGAGCCGGTCTAGGATTGACAGGGAGACCTCAGACAGGCGGCAGAATCACCATTACTATATGGCTGTTACAGCAACACTATCACACTGAAGCCTGGATTGTATAAGGAGAGTCTGCCGAGTGCCAGTCCCAAACTTTCGTCCATTTAGCCTGTCAGCACTTTCAGCGGGGATAAATGCTGTGCAGTTCCACTCACTTAACTCGGCTTTTCCAGGTCAATCACAAGCCTTTACAGAGTTCAGTCTCTACACCCCCAGCTCCGAAAAAGAAAAAAAAAAAAAAAAAAACACCAAAGCCCCCCCACCCATCAAACCACCCTTTCATCCTCTATTTATGTTCCTGCAATCTCAACTGAGCCTTTTCAAATGCAGCTATAACAGTGTTCTACTGTAGGGCAGGGAGGAAGTAGAGCAGGCTGGAGATATTGGCTGAGCTAAGGTAACACAGGGACACAACTGGTTTTATTCTTTTTTTTTTCCCCCTCTGCAGATAATTACAGTTTTTCTCTCCTCTCACCAAATTACAGTGACTGGCTGATGTTCAGGAAATACCCAAACAGCTTAAATAGCCTAGGCAGTGGTGGAAAAATGTCCTTATCTGTGTGCTGGACTGTGTCAGATTTATTCAGTGTTATTTCATTACAACTTCTGAAATGGGCAGAGTTCACAACTGAAGCAAATTCTGCAATCAACACAGTGTTCACTTTTTAATGTGGCATGAAAGAACAGAGCCAGTGACGGGCGCTACAATACATGCTAATAAATGCATACGCTAAATGTACAATTGTGTGGGAATTGGACATTTTAGCTGCCCATTATATACTTAAAAAACAAAAATCAGGCATGATGGTGACATTTCTGCAGAAACCACCTCCAAAAAAGTCAGTGAAGCTCTTCCCATAAACCTCTTTTTCAGAACAGCCAGTTTATTGGATTTGAGGCGAGAGCTTTTGGCTGAGCTTAGTCTGGATAATCACAAATGCCTGCATTTCTATGGAAAACATGTATAAGTGCATATTAGAACTTATCTTCTCAAACAAATAATCAAATTACCCAAACAAGTACAGTGTAGTGGCTTTTGAGCCTTACCTCAGCAGCTGGGATGCCTTCAGGTGGGCGACACTGGAGCAACACTTCCTGCTCAAGTGACACTTCCTTCCCAAGAGGCTCCTGGTCAAATGTCTTCCTCAAGTCTGCAATGAAAACAAAAAAAAGGCACACAGTGCATCAATATTTATCTATATGTCATTGACAGGTAGATGTGAGGGCTGTTATAAGAGCTGTATTTCATATTAAATGAAAAGTAAATCAATAATAGTATTGGTATACCAACAATAAATCATCAAAAGCGAAGGGAGGGTAACTCATCAATAATAATTCACCCTATGCAACAGCAATAAACAACGGTGTGTATCTAAATAGAAGAAACTGTGACTGAGATTTATGCTTTCTTTCTATGTCCCTCACCTTCAGCACTCAGATAAATTGTCTGAAGTAGATGGAGGGAAGAGAGGGAGAGGGGGAATCACTCGCCCTCCAATGAAAAACCAATATTTTTGTGGTGTGAGAGCCCTGATGGAGTAGTGCAGGGCAGGGATAGTGGCGCTGACAGGGCAGGATTACTGGTGGTGTCATGCTACACTGGAACCCGAAGCCCATTAGACATATATCATCACCTGCTGCACAGACGGCGACAGGAATGGCGGGCACATCATACACAACAGGAGGAGGAGAGGAGAGGAGAGGAGAGGAGAGGAGAGGAGAGGAGAGGAGGTAATGGGGAATTACAGCACTACTTTGGAACTTTGGAGCCACTACAGCACCAAATCTACAATGAAACCTCCAAACTCCACTTATACCATTTCCACAGACTTTGTCATATTCTTGGCATACATACTCTTTAGCCTTTTATTGTCACATTTAATCAAAAGCAGTGACCACATCAACCACAGCGCACACGCTCTAAAATGTGTTTGTTTTTCCTTTATAACACATTAATATGGTGTATACATGCACAGACATCAACTCTCTGAAACAGTCTGTAAACTGCAAGAAGGGACTAACGTGAACTGAACCCATTAGACCGAGCCAGCCCTGCAAGAAAGAGGGAGACAAACTGAGTTGAAAATTCAAGCTGTTCTATAATGACAAGCCAAACTCAGTATACATGTTAAAAGAAACAAAGAACTACTATTTTCAATCATTCAGCTTTAAACAAAAAAAAAAAAAAAAAAAAAAAAAAAAAAAAAAGATGAAAATGTGTTGCAACAGTGAGAGAAGTGTTGAGGGTCGGCTTTGGGCTTAATTTCTAATCTCTAACTTTCTGATTGCATACCAATGACATCCATTTCTCTTTCTACCTACACATAAGTGTGTCCATGGAAACAAACCCAGAAATGACCCCGGTTCAGCGATTCAATCTGTGGAAAGGATATGGAAATTCTTCTTCACAGAACGCTATTAATGCAGTGACGGATTGCTATTGATATTGTGTGCTAACATAAAAAAGTGATTTATTACATTAGATAGCTCGAAAACGGCACGTTGGTTTTGAATACAAGTTTTAGATGCGAGTATACTGTAGACTGGAAGCGCCACAGTGACACATCTGCATAGCAGAATTCCTGCCGACGACACATAATAAAACTAATACTCTTGGGTACAGTGGTTGCACAAGTGTAATAGGACACAGTGTCCATGCTGTATCTATCATAGTAAATGAATGTTCCTCTGTGACTGTGGAGATGGAAGTACGTGTATGTGAATTTATATATACTGCACTGGTACAGAGATAGCATACAGTGATTCTCATGTATTTTTTTTTTCTCATAGGCACCATCCCCTGCAGTAAAGAGACATCCCTAAAAACTGAGCAAGACAGAAGTGAAATTTACAGATTTCATCACTTTTTCTTCAATAGTTTTGAGATGGGGAGACATTACACTAAAATAGAGACATTTAATTTTTCAGCTAACGGTTCCAAATCCTCCACAGGAGAAACTATATCATGTTCTTATTACAGAATACATGATCAGACTGCACCCGGAAGCCCTAAAGAATACCTATCATCATTTTATTTGGAGAAATTAACCTTAGAATAACAAATTCAATGAGAGTTTACCCCAATGCAACCTGAGAGTATGCGTGTCTTCAGGGGAATATGCCATAACTCCACAAATTTCAATGTATTATAAAAGCTGAAAGGGTGACTGTTGAATTGAAAGCAATTTCCGTAAATGTCTGGTATGAAATTAAAAGAAGGAATGACTGGAGGGGCATATTCTGGGACACAGCTTCATCCAACTGATTGTTTTTTTTTAAGACAGACAGAAGGAGAGGAGAGGAGAGGAGAGGAGAAGAGAGGAAAGGAAAGGAAAGGAAAGGAAAGGAAAGGAAAGGAAAGGAAAGGAAAGGAAAGGAAATTTAAGTCTCAAAAAGTACTTTTGTTTGCAATTGTAAGAGTCATTCTACTGTTTCTCTGCTGTCAGACCTACACAATGCAAAGATGGATCTTAGTACAAATTGCCTCCGAAAGATAAAAGAAGATGTATTCACAGTATGACAGGTGAAGAGAAGAATCAGGCTTCATCTTCTCCTGCACTGTGACACACACTATGATACACTGTAGGATATATGCAGTACAGGGCGGCTGGCCTGGCCGCTCAGTGTGCACAATTTCGGCATTTTGTCATTTGATGGTTTAGAATGGACCATAATGCCTAGCAGCTACTGGTGGTAGTGTCTATGGTTAAGTCCATAGCAGGTTTAACAATTGGAAAAGTGAAAACTCTGAGTAAAGAGCTGCAGAACAAGAAACAAGAAAACAAATGTTTATATCCATGTACAAGAGTTTTGTCTTTTGTCACTAAAAGAACAATTAGTTTCTTTCAGCATTAAACCAAAGCTTGTTAACACCATCATGCATTATTGTTGAGAACATAACAATCACCAAATAGCCTGAATTAGACTATTAGTATTAATGGCACAGGCCAAAGGTTGTGAGTTAATTTCAAATATTCATGCTTTTATTACTCATACTTCTTGTAGCAGATAAACTACAGCTTGTTAAACTAAAATTAAACACCCAGCGCTTGTATTGTTTTGTTTTTTTTCGCAGACCTTTGGCATTACTCTTGATGAAACACAGTAAGTAGCATGCAAGTGATTATTTTTCACTGTATATTTTTATTGGATGTGGGTTTAAATTATGCTTCCCCTCCAGAGTCTCTCCTCTCCTCACTTCTCGTAACCCTGAACGGTGCTGTGGGACACTGAAGGGTGTGGGACCAGCTGAGTCGACATTCCTGTGGGAGTCGCACCATTCCCTCCTCAGTCCTCGAAACACTTCCAGCCCCGCACACCCCCAGGGAGACGCACACATATGACAACCATTAACTTAAGTGTTTGGCTACTTGTCATGCTAAATTACACCAGCGCCACACTTCAGAAACAGTTTCTTCCTTGCTTGCTAAATCATTAGGTGCTGGTGCAAACCTATAGGACTCACCGAGTCTGGGTTTTAATCATTAGTAAAGTCACAAGTAATAAAGTTGAGGTTTTACTTATTATGCTGTGTATGTGTACCAGGCCCCAAACAAACAAGAAAAATAATTTCCAGCTTTTTCAGTGAACATTACCCTCCACCAGGCTTTTGAAAGGTATTTTGGTTGACTTAATTCATTTTTAATTTGCGTCTGTGCATACACTTGCATTGCCTCTCTTTGGCAAGCAATCACTGCACCCCAAAAACAGAGGCCAATCAAAACAGATTTATGGAGGTCACATGAAAGACGGGCAATCACAAGGAATTCACACATTCTCTCTTTCTCCCACCAAGCACACAGTGTCTCTGACAATACCTTCAGCCAGTCCAGCCTTTTTTTCTTTTTTTTTTGCAGGTCTGAAAGCCAGTTCTTCAACACAACAGCCTCTTAACTCACCAGCGCTGGCTCTGACTCACCGTCTGATTAAACTGTATATGTTTAGATGATGGGAGAGGAGAGGAAAACAAGCCCAGTTTCCATTAGCCTAACGGGATAGAGTCTGGCTCTGACAAGAAGCCTGCCTGGAGAGAGAGAGAGAGCCCAGTAGAGGAGCTAATCCATTCAGCAGAAGCTAATGGGAGGGGAAGAGGGGTCCATTGTGATTTGAGGGATAGGTTAGTACTGGCAGGCTGCTCATCATGGGTGATTATAGGAGGTGGAGCAGCGGGAGTGGGCTCGGTGGGAGACTGAGAGGCATGATTCGGATTCACCAGGATAGTATAACAGTAGCCGTAATGAGAAAAACTACTGGTGTTTGAAATAGAGGGAATACGCTGGATTTGGACAGAGAATGTAACAGAGGGAAACAGTAAGAGAGAGGCCGCTAGAGAGTCAGCAACAAAAAGAAAATGTGGAGAAAGAGAATTAGGTGAGATAAAAATGGAGAAAGACATGAGTATGATTGCTAAGTGGCTCTAAATGGAGTAGATCATGTGAAAACCGTGGATATTGACTCCGCACTGTGCTACTCTGCTGCACCGTGGAGGGGAGATTGAATCGTTTCGACAGTGGCGCTGAGTTGCCAGCCAAACATTAGGCTCCAGTGATATCCCTACCCAGCCCCATCCGGCAGTGATAACAATATATTTGATGCAGACTACTATACACACTGCAAATGTGGGGTGTTTTTTTTTTTGTCTTGTTCGCCACAAGTCAAAAGATAAACAGCAAAGCTGGGCGGGACATGTCAGTCACAACGTCTTTGACAGGAGCTGAAAGTGCGATGATCTAGATGATACTATGAAAGACGTCCCTTCAGGTGGAAGTCTGACAACAGTGTGTGAGCAGTTGCGTTATGTAATTTGTGTTGTGCTGCAGAAGTGTTGCCTTGATGCGGAGCTTTATTCTTTCAACTCCGCTTTTCTCACCATGTCCTCTGGAGTTTCAATACTCTTTAGATTTTTGATTGGCAGATCCTTTTGGGAACAATTAAAAAATGAGCCCAAACTTTAAGAGGCAACAGAATGTTTCTCATTACTTGGAAGCAATTGTGTTGCATTTTTTTTTTCCGTAGGAGGACAAACACACAGGCAGAGAACAAATGAGGACCACCTACAAGAAAAAGAGGGAGAAGCTTCGTGGCTTGAGATACATGATGCTCATGAAGGTACCATCATGGCGTATATCTTACGTGGTATACACGTGAGCAGAGCTATAGCCCTCCTTGCGCTTCGCCGGGACGTGTGGAAAACGGCCTAGTATATCGTAATGGAGCTTTCTCGCCTCTTCGCATGAGCTAACATGGTTATAATATATTCTCAGGTTTATACCATACACAAGGAAACTCATTCAGACTATACAGGCTTTTTACCAACTCCAGTTCAAAGGGATACTTCAGTCCCATGTCAGTAAAACCCTTTCTTCACTGCATCCATCTCCAGAATCTATAAATCTGTCATGATACACAAGTCAGTCTGTGGGACACATTTCCTTGGCAGCCAAGAGATTTTGTTTGGAAAGGAATACAAAGATGGGAGAAGAGATAAAGACTGAGTAATGGGATGGAGAGAGGAATTGATGGGGGGGGGTACTCACAAGCGATGCGAACGTGGGCTTTGCGACTCTTGGTGGTCCCTGCGGAGCTCCAGGCCACACACTGACACCAGAAGTCCTCCGGCCCAAATAGCTCCTCCACCTGCTGCCGAGTGATCTCTATGCTTGCCTCCCTCACAACCAGGCCTGTGAGGAAAGACAGAAAGGGAGGGAGGCAGAGAAGGAGGGAGGACAGGGTTGGCAGTAAGAGATGTGGATAAAGAGGTTTAATGAGGAGAAATGAGGGGAGGGAAGGGGAGAAAGTGACAGAAAGTTCACATTAGTACATCAACCGATCGACAACAAGTGAAAATGAAACTAAAACTGAGGAAAATGAATCAGTTGATATGAAGAACATGAGCAATCCACACACATAAATGCATTATGTAGATCCTATCACACAAATCAGTATAATTTACATCAGTCACATCACATGCTTTGACACTGGTGTGTGTGTGTGTGTGTGCACGCGTGTGTGTGTGTGTTTGTGTGTGCGTGGCTGTGTTTGTGTCAGTCTGGCCCCGATTCTGGAGCCAGAGCGCTGAGCTGTTTGGGTCTGGGCCCTGTGGGGGAGGATTCTCTGCATCATGGCTAACACAATCCTGTTTGCTAACTCCTCTGATTACTGCTCATCTGGGTGCCAGGACCCAAACAAACAAATCATCCCCAAAACAAATGCCTCTACCCACAGCTGCCCCGCTAGAGCAGATTATGCTATTGCTACAGTGTGTGTATGTCTATGCCTGTCTGTATATGTGTATGTGCGAGAGAGCATGAATCGAGCGCATGCATATGTATAATGCGGTGCAAGAGCATTCATTGAAGATACGAATGCAATATCCTGCCGTGTTTCAGCTCTCAACCCATCATCTTTTTTTGACTGAATGGGAAATTTGTGAGAACAATGGTGGTATCATGAAACCATGATGGTAACTATCAGAAGCGAATTATTCCCTATGTGCTAAGATGGTTGCTATAGTTCCAGGCTGGACGCTGCTGGTGTCCAGAGTAATCTGAATTTCAATGCGCATGGATTCATGCTGGAGTCATTTTACAGGACACATTGACTCAATAGTGATGCAACAGCTCTTCAGATATTTAAAAGAACATGCTGTGAATATCCAGTGCCACCTCATCCCCAAAGTGCTGCTGCTCTATTAGGTTTAGATATGGAGGTTGAGCTGCCCACTAGGAAAGTCAAGTTGATGTCATTTTTCTGGAACTGTCACACTCATACACCTGGTCAGCAATAATGTGAAAGTGGACCATAACATTTAAATGATGTCTATATGCTACCGAAGGGGCTTTTGTGTGCCTAGGAAATATTCTCTTTGCCCTCACACCACCAAAAGCCAGCCCTAACCATTAAAACCATATTGTTTGTATATCAAATTCAGATCATGTCATCAATAATACAAAGCACTATTTGTCAGGCCTGACCTGGCTACTCTTCTTTTTTTTTTCTCTTACTGCTCTTTATTCACTCACTTGGTGATGACTTGTTTTGTGGCCATTTTATGTTGGTAGCTGACAGAGTGACAGAAACTGGGAGTCTGTCGCAGTTGTAACACATCCAAAGTTTAATGAGTTGTGCCCACAATTCTTGTACTCAGTGGTTATGTGCGTAGTCATAGCCTGCCTGTAATACTGACCAAATCTTGCCATTTTTGACATTTCTTCCCACAAGACTGCTGGTCCCTTGACACACAAATTACTACTGTTTTTGTAAAAAAAAAAACAAAAAAAAAAAAAACATTATATTACATATACAATTTTCACAAATCAATCTCATATTGAAGCGGTCTTGTTAACTGAGCTTACCTACGTATGAGATGCCATGTATTGTTGATGTGACATCATTATCAGGCGCCATCTTGAAATTGTGTGACGGATCATTGACTCATCGTCCCAATGTTCCTTCAATCAGTAACCTCATCTTTCCCTCAAATCTAATTCATTACATAGTGATTCACCACCTACTCGACCGGAGACAAAATGGACCAGTGTCGAATGGGGGTAAGGCTACCAAACAGGTGCTGCCGTCATGTTCCCTTGATTTCTCAACACATTTCATTCTCTTTGAATGATTATAACTGCTGGTTATGACTTAATATGGCTAAAATTGAACAGAAACCTTAATGAATATTTGTAAGCATCAATAAAACAGTTGACAGTATCACATTGCGTCAATATATTTGCATCCGCCGCCTATGTGTATGTTAATATCCATGACTTTTTCTCCTCTTCCTCTGAATAACCACACTTTATACAAAGCCTCGGGACGTATTGTGCTGTCTGAGTAGGTTTATACACTAGGTGTCTGAATGAAAAATGCAAGCGGAATGGATGGTTGAAAAATGAACATGCCATTTTACTTCAGGTTCAGTGCATTCACACAGCCTCCTTGTTCTGGCACACACACCAGGCACAGTGACATCCCACACACCAGCTTAGCTCTCATGTAAAATTTACACAGTGTGCCGACAGGCAGAGGAACAGCCACGTCTGTTGTGTGAGCATTTGTCTCTGCATGTGTGTGTGCATCTACATGCATGTGTGAGCCCAACGGTGTGTGTGTGTGTGTGTGTGCGCGCGCGCGCGTGTGTGTCTGTGGTTGTCTGTACTGTATGCCAAAGAGTTTGTCTGAGAGGCTGTGTATTGGTAGTTTGAGAATGTCAAGGATGGATGTGATGTTGGGAGAACATCTAACACACAGTAGCAGCGAGAAAATCAATAGTGGAAACAATAAGTAGATATGAATTCTCTGAGGGTGTAAAACACACGCCAGAATCAGTTAATTTTTTTTTTCCTGTCTGTGCTCCAGATTGTTTCTGAAGAAGGTTCTACAGTGGTGACTTATCTGTCTGATGTTGTTACGATAGGCCGTGTGTACTGTTAGGGCTTAAAGTGACGATGACTACAAGCTATATGTCTACTTTAAGAGTCACTCATGACTTCATAGCTATTACTAAAGCTGGATTAAACTCTTTCTGAAGTGTGCTTGAAGCACATCAGAGGAATCACTCCAGAGGAAGAGCAAAGCCTGCTGACCTCATCCAGTGACTTCATGTGTTAGTGTACACTGCACAGCATAACGATAATAACAACTAAACAAAACACAGACAGAAAGCGAGTGTAGATCGTGTCAGGGCCAGTGAGTGAGGGGGGGGGGGCCCTACTTCACAGCCGTCTATGTGGCCATTAGCCGCAGAAATGACTCTACAATATGTCCCATTAATAGCTTGGCTGAAGTAGGGCGCCTCATTGGAGATGATTCATTATTAATGCGGTCATTAAAGTGAGCTAGCCTAGCTCCTCGGTGTTAGCACCGGCTAACATTATTGATCAGACCGGTCAGGCGGAAGAGGAGGCATTGGTCATTGAAGGAGAGCTGGAGGAGGAGGGAGGGAGTAAGTGCTCTGATTATCTGGCCAGATGGAGAGTACTCCTGTTTGATCTTCTAGCTCATATCTCAGAGAGAGTGACAAGCTGTCTCCAGTGTATATTACTCTACCTTTGCCTACTTATAATTAATTTGCTGCTCATTTGTTCTGATCAATGCTCCTTTTGCTCATGAGAGACTGTAACCTGCCCTCAACACTGGGAGGTAAGAGCTATAGTGTTCAGGTGGCAACAGGATGAATGTCTAACACTGCCATCACGCTTTGCTCCGTCTCACCACTTTTTCCATTCTTGCCTCCTGACAAGTGACATTTTCTGCACATGATCTGAATCTATACCTTCTTTTCATGCGTGCCCCCATTATTTCATGCAAAACAGGTCTCCGTTCACATCAGAGTGGTAAACCTGCCTTCCCTACTGCTGCTGCCCAGCTGAACTTTAGCAACAACTCTTTTACACAGGTGCAACGACAATCCATTCTGCTGACTGTGTAAATAAAACTTTTTTTTCTCCTTTAATTTGTTGTTTCAATTCCTTTTTTTTTTCTTTTTTTTGGGGGGGGGGGGGGGTAGCACTTCCTTTCTCTGATTTTTCATTGTGTTGACTGGCTGCTGCTCAAAGGATAATCACATGCAATCAAATGCTCTACTGTTTTCTAAGTGTAATCACCTGCTCTTTAAAAAACGATAATGTCCAATTCCACCTCTAGAGAGGGTAATCAGTTTCATGTACTATATGTATTTTTATGGGGGTTTTTTTGTGACACATGTGCTCCACGTGGCCTTTGGACGGTACATATACCAGCATGGGGTGTCTGGAAAACCACTGTGTAAAGTAGGTGCAGGCGAGTTGCTTCACGCTCTGAAGAACATCATGTGGGCAAAGGCTGTCGGTCAAATCAAGTGAATCAAGTCCCTTTTTGCTGATTACATTGTAACTACTGATGGCGCACCAATGTAGCTCTTGGCAGCGAATTGTTTACATGACACTTTTACTGTTACTTGCGTCATAAATAGTGTTCACCCCTTTTGAAAGTTTTCATGTTTTATCGTGGTTAAGCACTGAATCAGATTAGATTAATGCGATGCTGGTCAACAGAAAAAGACCCCTTAATGTCAAGGTGAAAACAAATCTCTACAAACTGATCTGAATTAATCACAATTATAATATACAAAATAATTGTTTGCATAAGTAGTAAGCGGCTTTGCGCATCACGACACTGCCATTTTCCTCCACGAAACTGCTCACGCTGTATCATGCACAGAGTCTGGGGATCATGAGTTGATGGCATTTTTTTCAAGTCCAGCACCAAATACTCAATTGGAATGACATCTGGACTCGGCTTGATAGCCAGAAAGCTCAATTTTGCCCTCATCACACACCATAAAATGGTCTTACATCTAACTAGAATCTCGCACATGCCTCCTGGCAAACTGCAGCCAAGATGTCATGTGAGTGTTATTTTAAGAGCAGTAAAGCTGCGACTGGTGAAGCACTCTGGCAACTGTTGTTGTATGTACAGTCTGTCCAATCTGAGCCCTTAAAGACTGTAGCGCCCTCAGAGCTGTCATAGGTCTATCGGTGGCTTTCCTCAGTAGTCTTCTTCTCACACTCCGACTCAGTTTTTGAGGATGTCTTAGCTGCAGGCAGAATTACAGCTGTGCCATACTCTTGTCATGTCTTACTGACTGATTTAACTGTACTCCAAGGGATGCCCAGTGACATGTAAATTTTCTTGTATCCAAACTCTTACTTGTGCCTCTTCAGCACCTTTTTTTTTATTTTTGCAGAGCTGCTTGGGGTGTTTGTTTGTCTTAAGTAGGTTTTTCCGTGACAGTGACTAACCAAATCTGGAGTACAGGTGCATTTATACTACAAACAACTGAGCCCCCTTGATTACATGCAATGATTCCCAATTAACTAAAATTGGACTTCTAAAGCTAATTAACTAATGCAAGCAGGCATTTTTGGAGGCCACTTCTCCATTTCATATGCCAAAAAGACATGATACACACATACACACACACACACACACACACACAAACAGCTCTACAATGTCGTTCCTGTGTATGTACAGTATTTGAAGTGGACAGCACCTCGGTTGTCATAGAGAGTCAAACATCTGGATAAGGATGGAACGGATGCAGCCTGTAGCCTAAGTGAACAACAACATCTTTAGTTTTCTGTGCTCACTCTCTCTCAGTCTCTTGCACTCTCTTAATCTCATTATCTCTCATTTCGTCTTATTTTCATAAGATCTTAAGTCCTTGGCAACATGAAAGTGAGACACAGAGAGAGGACGAGAGAAGAGGAGAAACAAAGGGGGAGGGGAAGAGGAGGGATCGAGAGAGGGAGATCAAATTTCTTCGGGCTACACTGTCAGTGGTATTGACCAGGCCGGCCACTTTCTATCGGTGTTCCTTTTCTGTCAATCTGGGGAAATCAGAGAGCAATGGAGTGGGCTGAGAGAGGCTGCGCAACACACAACTCCACTGGGCTCTGGTGTGTGTGCGTGTGTGTGTGTGTGTGTGGGGTGGGGGGCGTGGGGGGGTTGCAGTGCAAGAGCGTAAATGAATGAATATCTCTGCAGTAAATAGCCTGTGGATACGGTTGTGTGGAGTGGGTGCACGTATGATGTGTGGGTTGTCTTCCATGTTGATGCTTTTAGCACAAAAACCTTCTGACACAAAAGCTAGGAGCCACTGCTACCTTAGCCCTCTTCTTTGTCATAATCATAACCATGAAACACATCCTCAGATCTGCCTATTCTTCCTCAAGTACACTAGGTCGAAATGAAATGATTTCAGGTTGCGATTCAGGTTGTTTTTTCAATACTCCATTTATATTCGTGCTGGCTGCAACATTCTTTCTGTGTCTGTGTATCTACCTTTGTATCTTGTACCTGTGCTGCAACACTGTCTTTAGTACTGTGTTTTTCTTCCATTTCACTGAAACAGCACTTGAGAGGTATTTTCTATTAAATACATCACATACAACATGTACGAGAATGTTCGACGATGGCTGAAGTCTATGTAAGTGTGTTCTTACAGCCCAAGCACTCACATTTAAGTGAAGGAGCGGCTGTCAGTGTGTCTGTGTGTGACCATGCAGACTTGTGTGGCAAAACAGTGGGATGAAAAGGGTAAATGCGATGTGATTGGTACCTGTGGGCGACAGAAAGAACTCAATTTCCAATACAGCAGCTGAATGCAGCCAATCAGTGCTGGGCTGTTGTGTGTAATGGCTCTGGTGCCTTCAGGGGCCGAATTTTGTCGAAAACAACCCTGCTGGAGCTTCACTACCTTCACTTCTCCTCTGGATGCTCACAAACATGTACAAAAAGACACACCTACACACTCAAAGCCGCGCACACACACACACAGACACACATGCCACAGAAGTGGTGGTGCTTATAGTGTGCCAAAAGGAAAGATGTCCTCTTAGTTAAAGCCATTTGTGCAAATAAAGTGAAGTGAGCCTGTAAATTTGATAAGCAGACATGCCACTGTGTGTTTGTACACACATTTTTTTGAGCAAATAGTATGTGTATGTATGCTTTGATCAACCCTACCTCCTACAAATCATGAAGATATGTATTAATTTTCTTCCTGAATAATAATGGCTGGCAACATTTTTTTGCCAATACAGGAAGTGTGATGCCCTTATACTGCACAGCAGCCTTAGGGTGGAGGTTGGGGTGAATGTTTGGGTTCTGCTCACTGACCGGAATTCTCGTCAACCCGCTCCTCCACAGTGTGCTCCTTCTGGTGAACCCACTCGCTGTTGCACTTGAAGTAGATCTGGGTGGCGGGTGTGGCCTTGCAGTATAAGTTGACCGGCTTGTTCTTGACAATATAAGCCTCCTCTGGTTCCATCAAAAACACGGGCAGCGGCTCTGGGGGGTCCGAAGGGAAGGTTTCCGGCAGCTCACCGAGACCAATGAAGTCATCCTCAACTGTGAAGTGAGAGAAGAGAGGGAGGGAGGGACAGATAAAAGAAAAGATGAAGGGAGGCAGAAAGCCCCAGAAAGAGAGAGAAAAGAAGATGGGGTTGGGAGAGAAAGGGAGGCAGACAAGAGACAGTGGGACAGTGTATTATAACCACAGTCTTTGCATGGGATTATCCATTCTCACAGCACACAGTGAAATCCCTATCATTTGATATTGTGGAATGTTTACACAAGTGTATTTTGGAGAGCAGGAAATTCTGGGATTCCTCGCAGGCAATAAGGCTGCATGGATTTACAGAAACCAGGCCTTGCTCGGTCTAACCACAACCAGCTACTGCTGAGAAACGAGAGAGAGGCAGAGCCAATAATGAGAAGCAGGGTTCAGAGGTTGACTCTGAGGAACTGAAGTTATAAGCTGTCTCTGCTCTCTCTGTCTCCCATTTTCTCACTCACACTCTCTCTCTGTCTCTTTATTTTTGTCTCTCTCTCTCTTTCCCTCACACACACACACACACACACACACACACACACACACACACACACACACACACCAGCTCACAGACACTTACACACATGCACACTCACATGCAGCAGATCTAATGACCTCAGGCTTTTGGCCCAGTTTGTGCCATTCCTCGGATACTTCTGCAGTAGACAGATACGCTTCCCTGTAATTACAACTCCCTTTCATCTCCCTGTCTTAAATCACATACACACAACTGCATGCGTGCGCGCACTCGCTCGCACATAAACACGAACAAATGCTCACAGTGGCACAAAACATCGCAAGCACACAAATACATGGGCATATACACGCCCACGAGCGAGCACGGCTAACTTTCTAACTCTTTGAAGAGAGGAGGATGAGGCCTATTCGCCACCCCATTTGTCACCTCCAGAACTGTTCTATTCTTACCATCGAACCGGTAGACATCAATTATTTACAAGTGTGAAGGAAAGAAGGCAGAGTAATAGAGACAGAGATACAGTGGGGAAACAGAAGGTGAGAGAGAGAGAGAGAGAGAGAGAGAGAGAGAGAGGGAGGAAGAACAGAGACAGACGGTGAAAGTAACTCAGCCAGACAGACGTAGATTGAGACACTGAAATGGAGTTGGGCAGACGGACAGAAACATAGCACAGGACGACAGAAACAGCAAAGCAGACTGTTCGGATAACAGAGGAGTTTATCAGCCCATCAGTAATTCTTCCATGTCCTTCTATCTACCGGCCTCCCTGTCCTGCGTGGACATGCTGGAGCCTTGTTGTCTGACAGAGGTTGCCTCCTGGATGCTTTGAGAGCACTAAATAATGTCTCGGCTGAGCAGATATCTCCCAATGATGTCTCTCTAATGTTATCTCTCCCTCCATACCTGCCACAGATTGAAGTTGATTGCTAGGAAATGAAAGGGCAGGGGGAGCCAATCAGAAAATGACCAAAGCCGTCCTCACCAAGGGAAGGGGAGGGGTTCGTCTGTGTTCTGTTATGAAAGTGTTGTCTGTGTGTCTGTGTGTGTGTGTGTCTGTGTGTGTGTGTGTGTGATGCTGGTATATTTGTGTTTTTTAATAATAAAAAGTACAAACTCGCTTCTCTCCCTCCTAATCTGCTGCTAATTGAGCAGAGGTAGTAAATCCTCAAGTGACCTCTGACCTTAAAGAGAAACTGCCTCTTTGCACAGTTTGTGTGGGTGCAACGAAGAGTTGGAACAAGATCATTAGCTGATCAACTTTCATCTTTTGCTGTCAAAACAAGACAAAACTTTGAAACAGTGTCAAGCTTTTCATCCTTTATGTCTTTATGTAGGTGATGACTCTTTAATGTAGAAGTCTATTTCGGCAGACCTTGGCTTAGTCTGTTCTTTTCTGCTCCATAGTCCTCAGTCCACCCACATCCTCAGCCAGGGGACCCTGACCCAGAAACCAAGGAAACTCATTAAAGATTGTGTTAGCCTTCTTTCACCCTCCATTCCCATTATCTCCCCATCTCTCTCTCTCTCTCTCTCTCTCTCTCTCTCTCTCTCTCTCTCCCTCCCTCCTGGCGCCCTCGCTCTGTCGAACTGTGAGGCAGAGAGATCTGAAACAGCCATGAAAGCGTGGCTCCCTTACACACAGAGCGACGCGCCCCTCGTATGCTCACACACATACACCCGCGCAAGCATTAATGCGCACAGGGGCACACACAAACTGGCTCACAGATATTCGAATTCATCAACTTCCTCAGTGCGAGAAATAATACATTCAAGTGAATGGAACTAGCCCTCCAGTGAAAAATCAGCCCAGAAATGAAAAAACAAGCCACATGACAAAATGAAAGACCCTGACTCTTACCAATCATGCTGCAGCCCCTCTCCCCCGCCCCCAACCCAAGCGGATTGTAAGTCATCCCGGAAAGTGTGCGAACATGATTCTTTACGATCCCAGGCATCTCCCTCCCTGGTGAACAGAATACTGAGAGCAAGAAGAAGCTCAAAGAGAAACATTACTTTTATTCTGGTTCCCCCCTCCCACCGCCTCCATTCATATGCAACGAGACAACGGCTCATGATAAAATAGTTTAGGGGTCTAGGCATTGCCATGTTTAACATGATGCAATCTCCGTGGATACACACAGCGAGGGTGTGTGTAATAACAAGCCTATTACTCAACAAGTGCAGAACATATTACCATACATACGCAGATCAAATATGCATTATGAAACAATTTCCCCTCTTTTTCCAGTGTCATATCCCTTTAAAATGAACATTAATATGGCGTGCCTCCGCTGTTTGATAAGCATTATGGATTTTTCCAAGCATTTGTAATTCTGCAGCTTGATTTTAATCAGAACATTTCTGAATTGCCTCCACATTAAGTGTTTAACATTTAATGAAATATATCCTCGCAGCACTTTTGTTGAAACTGTATTTTGCTCTGTAATTGGGGTGAGTTTTCCTAATTCATATTGTAACTCTTATTAGTGAATATTTTAAGACTCAAATTGAATATTAGTTGAATTTTATATCAGTTCCACATCCCAACTACAAAAAGTTTTAAAGATAAATTAACTGCACATTGCCCTCAAAATAAAGTTAATGATGAAATTTGCCTTCTTGTATTGTCAGTGAATTCATCAGGTAGGGGAAAAAAAATGATCTGGAAAAAAAAAAAGCAAATTAAAAAGGGATCAGAAATAATCGAATTAATCCAAGCTTAGCAAGTGGGAGTGACGGGAGGTATGAGAGGGTATTGGCAATCAGCCCCTCTTTGGCTTGAGTCAACTCCAATAGCTGTGGGAGTGGAGCAATATTAAGGGATGATTACATTTTGGACATGAGCAAATCAAAGTCAAACTCACAACGCTGGCACAGCCACACATTAACGCACAGCGTCGGAGATAAGACACACACCTCAAAGACGTGCACAAAGAGGCTCGTTGTGAGCTAAAAAAGGAATATCAGTGTTACATAAATACATAAACTGTTGCATGGAAAAGTGCGCAACTCCCACACCAGACACACAACACACACACACACACACGCAGAAACTTACATCGCCTGTGTGAGGTTATGGAGCGTGCTCCCCGTAGCTACTCGGTGTGAGGTAAACAGCCCGCCAAGACTAAAAGGACCTGTCCAATTAGCCAAAGTCTACATTTCCTGTGCTCCTCATTTCTTCTACATGTTTGTATTGACAGTATTTTTCCTTTAACGTTGTCTGGGTAACCATCACCTCACTGAATCTTAGACACAACAGGGGCATAATGAGTGCCTTACATCAATAGTTTCCACTGGAAATAAGCAGAAGCTGGTTTTATAAAGAATAGTAGTTCAATCACACCTTGAAAAGAGCTACAGCAAAACCTCCTAAAGCATTATTACTCCTCAAGTCCGCGATCAGTATACCTCCATTACTGGACCATCATTTCATTAATCACATTAATGAGGTCTATTGTGCTGAGAACAGTGAAAACTGATGACAGGACGCCCAGAATACATTAGACATCAAGTCGGTGTCCAGGCTGCGATGACTTTGACCAGGGCTACAGCAGCTCCTCTATCGTCTTTTCACAAATTCTTTCAGACCTTAAGTGCTCCGTGTGATTTTACACGCTGACATTATATGTCACCAGGAGCCAAAGTCGATTCTCTGTGAGAGATCCTCTGGAAATTTGCCAACTTGAGACGTAGAGAGATATCTGTAAATCTCCCTACGTGGGCTCCAGAGGGAGGGTAAGAAGCATTTAACAGCAAAGCACACAAGACCAGATTATCACGCACTTAGGATTCACTTACAATTGTGAATCCATCTCTAGTGATACAATGAAGATCACAGAGGAAAAAAATCCTTTAGATTTATCTAAGCATAAAGCGTTATGTCTCGATTAGGAAGGCCATTTCTGCAATGTTTGATATGCCAACACTGTTAAAGACACTGTAAAGATAAAGTAAGGTATGTTTTAATGACACTGGTGATGGAGCCGGACCATGAAGGTGAAGTAGAGACATCTACAGGGAACATATATGTGAATGTACAAAAAGAATATGTCACTATACTTTTCATAATACCACAATTCATCTGTCAACACTGACATAACCGTAATCAGGCAATGGAAACCATAGTCACACAGGACCTGGTCATGTATGATGACACCAGGTCTACAACCCACTCCAGCTGTGCTCAACACAAATAGCAAAAAAAAAAAAAAAAATTCATGCCATCACACATCATTTTATCACTTCTTATAAACGCTGAAGACTTCAAATGCTCACATAACAAACAGTTCTGAATAACAATAAGAGACAAATTTGAATTCATTAACTGTTTTCTTGTTTCTAATTGTTCCCTTTTCTCACTAATACTTGGGTTGCTGATGACGGGGTGTAGAAAGAGATGTGGCCATCTACATAGTTGGCAGATAAATGCAGCTTTAAAGCCACATTATTAACTTTAAGATAAAAGAGATACAAACAAATGTAAAAAGCCATCCCCACGGTACATACAGGTTATACCTTAAACAGTCTATGTAAGCT